CCTTGACATTGTACTCTCAAGCACAGAAAATCAGTATGCCTATCTTTAAGTCTTGTAATTTAAAGAAATAGTTAAACAAATGCTCAGCTTTCAAATGTATTCACTGCTGGTAGTTATTGTCCTCACCCTGCTAATAACCTTTTCATCAAAGGAAAGTAACTCTGTATTTTTGCCTCGAAGGATGGTCAATGGGTGATCTGGTACTATTTGCTCTTTGTACTGATTTAAAAAGTTGCTGAGCCCTTTTGTGCTTGCTTGATTAATATGGCCACTCCACTGTATATCATACAGACCCACCATAAAGTACAACTGAACTCATCTCAACAATTGTCTCATGAAGATAAGATATGACAAGCTATACAGTCAAACCTGCTCTAGATACCACCTGACTAAGACAATCACCTGTACAAACAAACACTTCCCACTCTCCCCCCAGCATTTTTCCTATATTATAACGACACTGCCAAAGAGGACTACCTATTTATTAAGATAACCACTTTTTTAAAAAGGTGTTGCGCAGAAATTTTAAAAATTATATGAATTTTTTTTCTCATAAACATTTTCAGTGGAAGAAAAAGGCCACCTGTTTGAGAAGAAAGAGCTGCCCATGGCTCTGGATGAGCCGGACTCATCACTCCTTTCAGAAGATGTTGCTGCGGATGAAAATGACCAACCTGAAGCTGAAAAGAAAACAGATGAGGACAAGGGGAAGGAGAAGAAGTCTCCATCAGTCCCCCGATCAACCCTCAGCCAGCAGCTCCTTGAAATAGAGGCTCATGGAAGTAACCCGTTCTTCAAATACGCAAAATTTGATGGCAGAGTAAGTATAATAACATGGGTAATGTTGGGTCATTAAGTGGCTAAGCTTGGAGTCATAAAAATATTTGAATAATCAATCATAAGGCTTGTGGCTTTACAGGAGATGTACATGATGTATGTATCCCATAACCCTATCCCTACGCCCTGGGGTCATTTGGTACCCCCGGGGTTGTATTCTTCACATTTTAGAATATTTCTAGTGCTAAAATATCTTTGAAACTTTAAGTATTTCTCAAAAAATCATTTTGACAGACTGCTATGCAAAGCGTTCGGATCGGATTAATGAGTACATTTCCTCTTTGGAAAGTGGTGGCACAGAGTTCCCCACCTCGTATGGATACGATAGTAAAACATGACGTATGGATAGGGTAAAAACTACTAATACTATGAATGTAGATCTATGTGAATTGGATCACTGAGTAGTGGTAGGTCCTGCCTCTCTTCTGTCCTTCTATTATTTTAGTCTATCTCGCTTTTTTTTCTCAGCACCAACTGACCATCCAGGTTTCAGTGTGCTTCTCTGTTTCTTATGGGTGGTTTGAGGGACCCTTGTTCTCTAGAATATTCCTCTGTCCCTCTTTTGTTTCTGTCTTGATTTTTTTTCCTTCCATTAAAATATCTGTTGTTTTGTGGCACTTTATGAAAACTTAGTCTCTTTATTTAAAGCTCATTATCTCAACCTAAAACATTTTCAGACTGCTGGTGGCCTGGCGACCCGTAAACTGGACATCTTCCTCACTTTTGCTAGTCCTGAGCAGCGGGCGTACCCGATGTCCATCATTGTGACGGCAACAGCCAAAGCACAGGAGGTGGTGGGGTTAGTGTGCTGGCAGTACACACAGGAAGGCAGGAAGCCTGAGATCAAGTCTGTGGTGGGACACATCGATCCAAAGTTAGTATGCTACTGTTCTTCGTAGTCTTGGGTTTTCTAATGTGTTTTTCTGTCTAACTCACATTTTGTTTGAATTGTTGTTTTGTTTTGTGGGTTTTTTTCCATGTCTCATTTTGTTTAAATGGTTATTTTCAAGACATTGTTGGGTTTTTTTTCTTTCCGTCTCCCATTTTTAAAAATAATTATTTTCTGATGGCATAGACACTGTTCTGAATGGTCGCAGGAGAGAATGGATGTTAGAGTAAAAATGAATTACCTGTACAATTTGCTGGGTTTTTTTCCACAGTAGGTCAGAAGTAAAAACTCATGAACTGCTATATAACAACTTCATTGTATGTTTAGCACACTCACAACACATTGTGGTCGTTGTGAAAGTTTTTCCCCCCCTACGAATAGCAATTAGCGGCAGCTGTTTTTTTTTGTCTTCTTAAAAGAAGAAAAATCCTGCGTTTTGTAAAGGAAACTGATATCAAAATTACATGGTCATCCACAGTAGTGACTTGAACAAGTTTTCCCTGCACATGGCAGAGGATGACGGAGAGATCGACACCGACTTCCCCCCGATCATCCCCACGGACCCGGTCTCCAAGTATGGCTTCACCAAATTTGCCCTTGTGGCCAACGCACCCGTACAGCCCAAGTCCGCTCTGGTCACCATGTAAGTCTTTGTGTTGTCTGGTCATGGCCTCTCTTCAAATTTCTGTAGTTCGAGATTATCCAGATTTCAAGGATGTCCAGCACTGGGGCGGTTAGGAATCTGACTTGAAATAAAGCTAGTTGTCAGCTTCACTCCCAGCTCTGTCGTGTAGCACATTACCAACCGTCTAGAATTTCCTGGGACTGCCTCTAACTCAGCTGTCAGAAATTGACCACAAACCTATCATATACACAGCACCAAATGTGGTGTAATTTTAGTCATTATTAATCTAATGTTATACTGTTTAGTGTCCCAGATTGTGTTTTGAAAAAATATAAGCAAAGCTGACATTGTATCCTTTAGAAAGATACTTAAACCTTTATTCTATGTTTGCCTTCAGTAAATAAGGACTTTGACTTTCATCTTTATCCTTGAATGTCCATGACAGGCAGGTCTCCATATATAACACTTACACTTTTAGAATTCTAGATAACTGGAATTCTCCTGGCTGGATTTTTAATGTAATAAAGCATGTAACTTCATGTGTAAGTGATGGCATGTAGCTGTTGACTTCTGACCCCATTAGTTATTAAATTCTCTGAGACCTGAATGGACAGTAATACTTGAAATTTTCTTTCTCTTCTTTGTTAGGCTTGAGAGGTACCTTTACCGGCCACGCTTCCTTAATTTCTGTTGTCCTTAGTCCGAAAAAAAAATTAAAAAAATAAATGGGGTTGGTTGGTGGGTGCTCTGGTGTGGTTTGCTCCTTTTTTCCTATCAAACATATTTATATTCCTTATCCGTCCTCCTTTTTTTTGGTGATTGTTACTCTCTTGTAACATCTCTAATCTTCGGCACTAATATGACCTTATTGCGTTGTTAATTACTGAAAGCAGAAGTACAAGCTGCCATTAGGAAAATGAAACAAGGAAAAGCCACAGGGCCAGATAATATTCCAGTTGAAGTGATTGTCGCGCTCGAAGAACTAGGCACTGAAATAACAACAAAGCTCCTAAATTTAAATGCTATTTATGACAGCGTTGAGATCCCAGAAGATATGATGAAATCAGTTTTTTATAGCTTTACCAAATACACCAGGTGCCACTGAGTTTGATATGCATAGAACAATTAGCCTTATGAGTCATTTTACAAAAATATTGCTGCGAGTAATAATGGGAAGATTGAGAAGAAGTGTACGATCAGAGATATCTAAAACGCAATTTGGCTTTGTTCCTGACAAGGGCACCAGAAATGCTATATTCACCTTACAAATGTTAATGGAAAGATGTATTGAAGCACAGAAAGATCTGTATTTATGCTTCATAGATTATTCAAAGGCGTTCGATAAAGTTAGACATGATGAGCTATTTAAAATACTGGAAAAGCTAGACATAGATGGAAAAGATCTAAGAATTATCAGAAATTTGTACTGGGACCAAAACGCTGCTGTATGAATTAATGGAGAATACAGTGAATATAAGCAGATTAGGCGAGGAGTGAGGCAAGGATGTGTTATGTCACCAGACCTCTTTAACATGTACAGTGAAACAATCCTTAGAAACATAGAAGAATGTCCAGGCCTCAAAGTTAATGGAGAAAATATTAATAACATCAGGTATGCAGATGACACGGTTTTAATAGCAGGCTCCGAAAAGGACCTTCAAATGCTTCTAGATACTGTTGTAAAAGAAAGTGAACGTAAAGGATTATTGTTGAATGTAAAGAAAATAGAATGCATGGTAATATCCAAAAAAGCAGCAAATCCTATTTGTAATCTCATTAGCAAAGGTGAAAAGATCAAACAAGTCCAACAGTTTAAATATCTAGGATATATGATAACATCTGATGCTAAATCTTCCGCAGAAATAAAAAGGAGAACTGCAATGGCTAAGGCTCGTTTCAATAAAATGAGCCCAGTCCTGAAAAATAGAAACATTTCAATGAACACCAAAATGAAAGTCCTGAAATGCTATGTTTGGTCAACCCTTCTATATGGTTGTGAATGCTGGACAATCACTAAAGACAGTGAAAATAAAATAGAGGCAACAGAAATGTGGTTTCTTAGGAGGCTGCTAAGAGTATCGTGGAAGGAAAAGAAATCAAATGAGGTAGTGCTTGATGAAGCCCACGTGGGACGCTCAATGTTAAAAACAATCAGGAAAAGACAAATGCAGTTTTTGGGACACCTGAATAGGCATAAGGGTCTTGAACATCTAGCTCTCACTGGCAAAATTGAGGGCAAGCGAGGCAGGGGTAGGCCCAGAACAACATACTTAGGGAACCTAAACAAATGGGTAACAGGGAAAGATCAGGGAAACGTAGCTTTTCTGAGAGCATCCGAGCAAAGAAGGAATGAATGGAAAATCATGATCGCTGATGTCTGTCGCAGATCTGGCACTGGATGATGATGATGCGTTGTTAATGCAGTAAAACTCCTACTGAAACAAATTAAATGTGCGTAGCTGTGCCAATCCATTTTTTGCTTTTTTTTTACTCATAGCAAAAAACAGAAGGCTTTGACAGCGTCTAATCCTAGAAGTATCCGTAAAAATAAGTTATAATCAGTAATTAGTAAGGCAAACAGATAAATGTCTTTTCAGCAATATTTTTTGCAATGGTTGCAAAACATATTCAATTTTACCTGCTTTTTTGCTCTGTGCATTATTGTTGCTAAAATGCCTTTGTCTCCAGATATGTTCCAAACAGAGGCTACAACACCTTCCAGGTAGAGTCAATGACGGTCACCATGCGAGAACTTATGGAAAAGGTGATCAAACGCAGGAAAATAAAGATTAGACCAGGTGAGAGCTTCTCTATTGAAAGGCCTACTTTTTTTTTTTTAAAGGTGATCAAATGCAGAAAAATAAAAGTCAGACCAGGTGAGGGCTTCTTGCTGGAAAGTCCTGCTTTTTTCCTTCCCCTCCTGGGGTGGATGGGACAAAAGGGGAAGCGGGGACTGAAAGTGTATGTGTGTGTGTGTGCATTTGTGCTTGCGCGCACTGCAACTAAAATTCCACTGACGGAGCGCCGTGGTGTGTGCATGCATGCATGTTTCTGTCTGAGATAAGAGGTCTGTAGGCTGTTTGAGACTTTTGAATCTGGGCTTATCATTGTTATCGACCCTTCTCCTGAACAGTGGAAACATCTAAGTTTGGTCACCCTTTGTCGAGGAGAAAAATCTCCATCTTAGACAAATGGACGTCTAACACTGTCTGTATAATGAAAAAAAAAAACCACGCAAGGGGAGGAGTGGCCATTTGTACAGGTGATTGTCTTATTCAGGTGACCGTTAGAGCAGGTTTGACAGTACCCGGTAAGAGGTTGGTTTTTGTTGTAGGCTTTCAAAAAGTGTTACTGAATGCTTCCTTCCTTTTGCTGCTCTGATGGGTGATGTACTTCATGTTCACATGCAGACGTGGAGTTAAGAAAGGGAGAGAGACCCCCCCCCCCCGGCGGCAGTGCCACTGACTGAAGTGTCTTTAGGCCATTCCCAAAGGGGGGACATTTCTCGTTCAAGCATAGTAGAATTGTAAATGGGCTGACTCATGTCACGCTCATAACCGTGCCTGATCTACAACAGGGAACTGCTGCTTTTTCTTTCCTGATCCTTACTATTGTCATTTTCCTCTACTTCTTTTGTATGTTTGTCACTCTCTTGTGACCTGCTATTTTGGGGTGCCTTGATAGCCGAAGCAGACTTTGTGCTGTTGAAGCTAGAGAGGTGAGCAGTCTAAGTCTGATTCCCTGTAAAGACTTCTCTGTTGACACCCACCCCTTGGTGCTCATATGACCTTATGCAGTTGCGAGCGCCGTAAAACCCTCTACTACAAAAAAAAAAGGAATGGAGATGCCTTCTTGTTGCTTCATCCAAGGGAAGGGTTTTGAGTCCGTGAACCAATGCTCCTGTGCCATCCTGCCAGACTCTGAACTATAACAAATTTGCTGTTATATACGCATTTGAAATGTGCTTTTTTTTTAGGACTACATGCAAAGCTTTTTTGCTATCAGTACTGAAAGTTATATTAGTGTGTGAGTGAATATTTTTAAGTATTGCCATAAACTATAAGTCATCTACATTTACCCAAGTCTTTTTATGCTTTTCGACTGATGAAGACAGTGGCATCTGTGTTGTAGGGATTATATTTTTTTGTGTGCTGTGCTCAAAAGACATGAGTTTAATTCCTTTTACACTCCTTGAACAGGACTCAACTACACTTTGGAGAAAGCTGGCAAGAGTGAAGTGGGGAAACCGATTGACCTGGACTCAATGCTGGGTTCCATGAACTGTCTTGACTTCTACCTCATCAGGGAAAATAGTAAGGGGTTGTCAGACAGCTGTTGTGTTCTTCTCTATTCCTTTCCTAATTTTTATGTGTGTGTGCATGCACATATGTGGGTGTGTGTATGAGTGTGTGTGTGTGTGTAGTGTGTGTGTTAAAGTGGTGAAAATCTATTCATTTTCCCGATCGTTTGTCACTTTTTTATTTTTCTGAAAATGAAAGGCGTGGGTAGTAGGCAGGTGCTCTTGTGTGGTCTGCTCCTTCTTTCCTATCAAACATCTATCGTCCTTTTCTCCCTTCCTTCTATTTTGTGTCTGTTACTATCTTGTAACACCTCTAATCTTTTCGTTTTCAGTTTTAGTTTTAGTAAGTTTTTCGGCACTTGCAACATAATAAGGCCATACAAGTGCCGAAAAACTTACTAAAACTAAAACTGAAAACGAAAAGTAAACATGACTATGGAAATGGAGTACAACTGATCTTCTGACTGTTGTCTTCTGTGTGTCTGATTATGGGAGATCTTTGAGATATAAATGGCCCACAGTTGCCGTCAGTGGGTGGTTGGCGGGTGCTCTGGTGTGGTTGCTCTTTCTTTCCTATTGAGCATTTATCATCCTGATCTCTCCTCCTTCTTTTTTTATGTTTGTTACTCTCTTGTAACACTCTTATCTTCGGTACTTGTATTGCCTTATTGTGTTGCAAATGCCGAAAAACTCTCACTAATACTAAAACTGAAAACGAAAAGTAAACATGACCATAGAAATGGAATACAACTGTTCTTCTGACTGCTGTCTTCTGTGTTTTTGATTATGGGAGATCTTTGAGATATAAATGGCCCACAGTTGCCCTAGGTCTGTTTGATGCTCAACATGGAGCAGGTGGTTGAGGAATTTTAGAATATGATCTACTTTCTATGCTTCATTTTTTTCTGTTATCAAATCTCTTTCTGGCAATGTGTTTTCATCTTCATGCCATATTGAAGTAGCACGATATATTCTGCACCAAATTCTTTGTTTTCAGGCTCTGTATGATGGTCTTTATATTAACATCCACTTTTAAAGCTAAGTTTTTAAATGCTGTGATGACAATTCCTGATGTTTAGGGTCTTTGCTTTAATTTTGGTAATATTTCAGCTTACTCATATCAAGTAACCGTGTTCGACTAAGTATATTTAAAAAAAAGAAAAATGCTGTTTGTTTAAGTTTTAGCCGGAAAAAGTTGTTCGTCATTTGAACATCTGCTTTCTTTTTAAAGGGGTGGGGTTGATTGGGTTTCTTTTTATGACATCCAGGTTCAAGGGGAGATGTGGAGTCAAATGGAGAGGAAGACCAAAAGATAGCAGAGTCCCTGATGAGTCATCAGTACAAGTCTTTCATCGTCAGCATGGTGCACAAAGTACGCACCAACACAGAAGTGCAGCTTGGTAGGTCAATGTTGGACCAGTTGTGTGGGGGAGACTGTCTGTATACTGTGGCCTATGCCTATTAACCCTGTTGTCGAGAGACAAAAAGAATAGCATGTTCTTTGGTGGATTTCAATTGGCACAACTCAGCTCCTACCGTTTGGCTTTCAGATTATCTCCTTCATTTATTTTATGCCTAAATATGACGCTTAAACGATACTCATGCTAAACGAAAGATGGAGGGCTTCTATTTAAAAACATTTTTTTTTTTATTAACACATTACACCCTAAGGGCTTGGACGGGAAGTCCATTGTTAGATCCTAAGCAAGGGGAAGGAACCTACATATCCCGTGAATACAAGCGTTTAAAAAACACATTTTAAAAATACTAAACAAATTCCAAAAATCCTTGGAAAAAAAAGTTAAAAAGAAAACTGAATGTAGTTTCAGAAAAATATAACTTTATGTATGCGCAAACTATTGGAAATGTTCTAACTTTAGTTCAATCGGGGTGTCCGACCTGTCACTCTCACTCTCAGCCTCGCGGTCGGGCCCTAGATCTAAATTCTAGAATTTCTCCTTCTGATCAATCGGAATCGCCCCAAACTCTTCCAACAAAGTTTTCATCAGAATCTGAGCCATCTGATTTGTCATATGCTTGTTTTTGCTCAAATCCATCGTTATTTCCGTTTTCGAATTCAATTGTGTCGCTTTTCAACAAATCGAGACACTTTCGAAGTGTCGGTAACGCGATAACACATCAATCAGCTCTAATACTAAAACTACTGGCCCGAAAAATTTCTTTTCGGTATAAAACGAAAGAAGAAACTTTTTGCTATAACTATGCAAATCAAAATCCCGGCCCCAAAGTCTCGTCAAGGCGAGACTTCGTTTCTAAAGACGCTAGGTCGGCGCGGGCGAGTCAGGGTGGAGCGCGTAAGGGAATTCCTGGGCGATCTCGGGCGAGTTAGGGTGTAATGTGTTAATAGAAATAGATAGCAATTGTATAGTGCAAATCCCAGCTCATGAACAAACTCTATGCGCTTCACAATCTATACTATTACCCCAGCAGACCTGAGAGCATTCTGAAACAAACTCAACTTCCTGGGAAGTATACAGTGCAAGCAGTCATTTATAGATGCTAAAACACTAACATACTGACAAGATTTTTCGCTGTCTATGGCCGGGTACCCATTTCCACCTGGGTGAAGTGAGGAAAATTCGTGTAAAGTGCCTTTCCCAAGGACACAACGTCGGGCCCGTGGCTCGAACACCCGACCCCGCTACCTCACGATTACGAGTCCAGTAGCCTAACCACTAGGCCACCGATGCCACAATTGACATGGGTTAAAACATGTTGGTGAATGTTGTGTGCTGCTTGAGGTCATAGTGGGGATAAGTCACTTCATGTTTCTGGGTGAACTTCTGTAAGGCAGATTGCTTTTATAAGACAATTAGATGCTTTCTCCATGTAGGGCCCCAAGTCCTCTGGCATTTTTCGTCAGTTGCAGGCCTGGCTCATTTGCAAATGAGCTCGTTTTTGTCAGTCACTGACTTCCTTTGCCTGACTACGCGATTTTCCTGCGTGCAGGCTTTTTCGTCAGCCGTACAGGTGACTAAGAAAACCTCGATTCGACTCATTTTGGAAGGAAATTTGCATCTTTAAGTACATTTTTGCTTCTTCATTTCCCTTTTCATTATCAATATAGTTGCATCTCATTATATGTTGTACAATAGTAGATTTGTGCTGAAAAACAGCAAAAAAATGGAATCAAAGCACGTTACCTTGATTATTTCGTTCTTGAGAGAGCTAAAAATAGGATAGACCTAGCCTTCGCGCAATACCGAGGTCACCCGGCTCGTATGAGCTAAAATGTATGCCTGGGATAGACTCTAGCCTCTGCATAATTTTTTTAAACCGGCAGTCTTGTCTAGACCTATACTTATGTCTCTATAGATCTACATACATACACCCCAGAAACAATGCTGAGAATGTTGATAAATAAATAAATCGCCTGTGCCTGTGCTGTTTGTTGTTCTCATAATCAAAACACATTGGGCTAAAAAAGGTTAGGCCTAACTGGTCAGACGCGGTGGACGTGGATTGTCTTGAGTTGGTTCTACACCATGTAAAACGTCGTTAATTAGCCTGGCCTGGAAGTGATCTTATTTTGGTGGACGCGTAAACTAAGGGAATCAAATGACTGAACCAATCAAAAGTCACTTAATAAGGGACCCACTCTGCCGAGTTCTTCTGTCTTGTTACAAAAAATGTTCTGTGTAAGTATAAATGCAATGTGTAGATTTCATCATCCATTAGTCTGTTCTACCCACACACTAACAAGTATTGTGCTGGGCTACAGTCTTTGTTGGAATATTCTTGAATTTTGGTTGTTTTAGAAATTTTCCTAGCTTTCCTCCAACCTGGCTGAGTCTTTGTAGATGGATGTCAAAATCGGAGGTTCTCCTTCTTTCATTACTATACTTTTCTTAACCATGGTGGTTGGTGGTCTAGTGGTCTAGTGGTTACGTTTTTGGGCCCGTAACCAAAAGATCATGGGTTTAAACCGTCCAAAGTGAGAATGGATTTCTGGCTGTAAATGGCGAAAAATCTGGTCCTTTTGTTAGTTTCTCGGGAAACGGAGAATGTTTGTGAACGTTCTTGGGTCTTCTGGGAAAAAAAATAGCTGTGAGCACGTAGGTCATGTACATATGCAGTATAAATGTAATTGTTCATCTTATTTTTGTACCATATGGAAAGAGTGGTAGTATCATACAGTTTGTACTTTGTGAGGCTCACTTTTCTCTGTACTTCCCTGCAGGCATCAGTGGAGACAAGATAGAGATCGACCCTGTATCTATCAAAGGCACAGCTCGTCTCTTCCGTCAGAAGGCTGTGACATACGATGCTGATTGTGTTGCTGCTTGTGACATCACGGAGACCAAGGCAAATGGTGTGTATTTTGTTGACCGTCAGCATTTATTTTGTGCGAGTGAAACGTCAGTTTGTGGGGTAGTGATAATACTTGTTATCATATACCTTTTTTAAAAGTATAACGGGCTACTTTTAAACTTTAAGAAATTTGTTGAAGTTTTTTCTTCTTTTTTTCTCCATGGGGGGGGGCAGTTATTTTTTAAAACTTTTTTTCTTTTGAGAGCAGTGCATCTTCAGGTATGGAAAGTACTTTTTGGAGGGGTTTTTTTCTCATGACGGAACTAACTAATCCTTTAGTTTAAGTCCATCAGTCACTATTAAGAAACCTTTTCTTTTCCCCATACAGTCATGTTGTTTGAAGGCTGTACTATTATGTCTATTGTTTCTTTGCTGTGTCTATAATTCTATAATATTGTGTCCATCTATCATTTTTAACAAAGTCTGATAGCTCAGTTAGTAATATGCTGAACTTTTAATTCCCCAAATTGAGTTGTTTTTTTTAGTTTTCAAGGCTCCTGTTAGAGATGAATGTTGGATAAGGGGTTCCCATCTTGTATAGTAATTGTGCATTGTTCAAAGTGGCGTTAAACCCAAAACATATAACCTTTCTTTTTCATAGCACCAAATGACTGTTGCAGCGTCAGTTTCTTTTGTGTGTATCTAAAACAATAACTCAACCCCTCTGCAGGGCGCTCAATGTTCCGAATGACGTACCTGAACGGCCATGACTACAAGCATCATCACTTCGAGGCTGAGCAGAGTGTGGCCAATGAGATTGTGGAGAAGGTCAACAACATCCTAGAGCTCAAGTTCAGTCCGGTCAGGAAGGAGTTTGTGTACTCGCAGGAGAAGAAAGCGTTGAGGAAACGAGACTCCATCAAAATATCCCACTGACGACTAGAGGCAGCTCCAGCAGAATTTACAGTGAATGTTATGTGATAGTTTCATGAGAAGAAATGTTGACTTATTTTTCCTATGTATTGTGCATTCATTTTATTGCAGTCTAGCATGCGCATAGCTAAATCAGCGGGATGGGGAAACCTTATCATCATGTACGAATCTCACAATGTACATGTTGTGAAACAAAGAAAATATGTGCAAGAAAATATTTGAGACCTGAAAATCTGTTTGCGAGACCTGAAAATCTGTTTGCGAAGTTGCTGGGTTTTCTGTGTACGTGCTAGACTGTTATCTGAAAATTTATCTTTTCAAGTAAAGGTAGCCCACTTATGACAAGCTAGATGTATTTGTAGACTGTGATAATTGAAACAACTGTGGTTTCCTGGGAAATTATAGTCACTGTTCTAGGTTTGTCATGTGTACATTCTAAAAAAATTGTTGTCACTGGAACCAACTTTCAATGTGTACACTTTGATCACTGGAAATGTTATGGCCTCTGTTTCTAAATTGCAGCATATACTCTACATTGGTGGCAATAGCTGTCATGTTGCATTCTTCTCTCTATCTTTTTTTTTTGGGGGGGGGGTTAGAAGTGTATGTTGAGAACTTAGGCCATATCTTTCCTGCCTGTGTGATTTGGAAAGCTGTGTCCTGAATTGTATTCCCTTTCCCAACATTGTGCTCGATTAATTGAAGTAAGTGTCAGCAACAATTCTGTTTAAAGCCCCTTGGCAATCATGCCGTGTTATATTCCTGATCTGCAGTGCTGTGTGAATATGTGTATTTGGTAATGGGCTCTCTGACAGCTCAGTTGAAATTGTGCTGTAGTGCAATGCATTTGACACTAGTTTGAATCCCTAAAAGAGTATTTTTTAAACTTGTGCTGAGGGAGTTTTTATGGTAGTCTATCTACAAGACTTTTTTATGGAAGATAGGAACTCACATTTCACCAGCTTTGTTTGCCCACTTTTCTAAAACCATTTCTACACTTACGCTATCAAAGTGATAAAAGTGAAGAAGGGGCAAGAGGTGATTATTTTTATGTCATAATAATTTACAGTGAGTTGTTATTACTATAGTTTAGCACTCACATAGAGAAATTGGCGGAGCGTGCAAATATTTTCGTTATATATGAATTTCAATATATACATATTTTGAATACAAAGAGTGTACATGTATTTAAACAATTCAGGACTTTAAAATCTGTTCGCTGTGTGCACATTTCACTATATGCGTGCTAAACTTTATAATGCTGGATGAACAATGTATGTGTTCATGCAAATACCAACAGAGGAGATGGGATGTTTTTAGCTTGTTCATTTGGTATTGGTTGAGAGGTACCCATGTAAGCGAGGCAGCTAGTCATAATTGTGGATATGTCTGTGTCATAGACGTAAGCAGTAAAATGTTAGATTGAAAATGAAGAGAGAAAACAGATAAGATGTTTGAGATGAAGTGGTCAGTTGCATGAGGGGCAATCTGGCTTTTGTTGCTGAAATTGAATCTTTACAAATCACCTGAACAGTTGAATATTTGGTATGAATATTGGTGTATTTATCTGCTGTGCAACTGGAATTATTGAGAATGAGATCTTTGACAGAGTAAATATTGTGTGTGTGTGTGTGTGCCTATGTATGATTATGTAGATTGCCGTACATAAGCATTTGTAATTGTAAAAATTTATTTATGTTTGACGTCTTTGTTTGATATTGTATGGTTCACCTTCTGTTTTTGTCCTTTAGAGATTTGGAGTTTGATTTTGGTATATGAGGGCTTTTTGAAAAGTAAAGTAAAAATGACCATTATAAAAACAATTTATCGTGTATCAAAATGAAGGTTGCAAAGTACGCCAGTAACACAAATAAGCTTCTTCTCATCTTAGCTCCCATGACGATCAGTGCATTTTTGCCCGTGACTCTTCAGGTAATGTATCCGCAACTTAATTAAATTTTATAGTGGAGAAAATGTCTTGAATGTTGAACTTCTGACATAAGATCATCATGTTCTGTGAACCTACCACATATTACAGTTGTCTCTGTCTAAGATCCCACTGCTTACGATCCCAGTTTGTTTTTAAGAAAGCAGAGGTGTGAACTCATCAATGCATTTTGTTTTCCCGAAATATTACTTTGGCATGCCCGCCGCCTATACTTACATCACAGGTTGGGTGGGTAGGGCCTAGCCTACAAGGTCGCATCAGACGAGATCACATCCAACTGTTGACTCGTCAGTGCTTTTGTTTCCCTGACCATGACGGTTGTCCTTCATTTCAGCCTCCAAATTTTCTAAATAGAGCTGACTTCAATTGGTGTTGTCAAAGTACTATGGTGTCTTTCGACAAGAATGGGAACTTGGTCAGAGATGGAAAGCTACAAATTATTAATTTTGGACAGGTTAAGGATAGGAACTTTGGGATTGACATAGATCTTGAAACTCGTTATTGGAAAAGTGAAAATTGCATGCTTAATATCATTGTGATGGGTCATCAAGATTGACCACTCTTGGCTTGTCATAAGTCATCATAAACCCTGTCAGGGGTCTTGACAATTTATTACAAAATAAAGGGAGATCATTTTACTGTGATTGTGGGCCTGACCATGCATCACTTGGATTCTCTCCCTGATGAATCAACCAAGATGCTGTATTTTCCTTGTTCCTAAGCACCGGGATCTTGGGTTGAGACAACTGTCAATATTACTTATAGTGCTCAAAAATATGAAAGTCTGATGAAACAATGATACATTAATGTGCTGAAATTTGTGCCATTTGGTCAGTTGCTTTGGGACCCAAAAAGAAAACTCTTTGCTGTATCCCAGCTGCTCATAGAAAGTTTCATAAATTATTTATTTTGGAAAGTTGAGAATCATTGGAATTTCTCTTACTTTCAGTTGTTTATCCTTATGCGTCAACTCACGGAATTTAAGCTCCTGATTTTTAGGTTCGCCAGGGTCTTGTATGTGGCTCGTCTTCCAGATTCATCCTTCCCTCATCAGTAGATGGCAACATTTATATATGTGTCACGACATGGTGGAATTAGGTGCTCACCAATGCCAATGTTTGGGCATGTTGCATTATTGGTCTCATCTTTAAAGCTTATTCATTTACCTGGCTTTGGATGACAAAATTACTCATCTATCTTATATCAAAGTCCAAATATTTGGGATCAAAAGAGATAAGGGTGGCCTGGTTTCAGAGGTAAAATTAGTGAGAACATGGCCTCCAAAGTTTGGTGACCTCTATAGTTTGAGAGTCCTTGAAAACTAAAACTTTATATTTTTGTGGCCTTAATCAACGTCTTTCACTACTTTCAGTAAAATCCATACGGAAATGTGTTTTTGAATGGATCATAAAGGTGTTGATCCAAAAATAAAAAATTTGAAAAAAAAAATTTCCAGACTGGAGGAAAAGTAGCAGTTTCTTTGATTTAATAATTTTGACAAGTTCCTGATTTCACCTTGCTGCTTCACATATTACCTTCTTTTTGCTCATTACATATTTACCGCAGACAGCAATGAGCTTGTCATAAATATGGGGCATTCTTTTCTTTTGCAACTAAAAAAAATTGAGTGACTCTCTGTGACTCTACTGTTGGCTTTTCTTTTATGAGGAATACTGTGTATTGATTGTGATGTCATAGAAGCTTAATTTCAGTGGTGCCACTGGAACTTTGGCTACAAGAAGAAGTGTGCATTGTCTTCTGCACAATGATTTTGGTTGTAAATGGAGCAAATGTTTGGGGGGGGGGGGGGCTTGTTGTCATTACCATTTTTCATCTTTTCGAATAGCCCTCATATTCTCTTTTGTCTTCATTTCACTATTTATCCCTTCTTATCTTCCTTATTCTTTTATAATAAAAGATTTAAGTTCACAGGTAATATTGTATTCAGTTTTTCTTCTGAATATGTTTGCCTCAGTCAAAACTTGGTATGAGTGTAAGAATGTTGACATCTTGATGTGGGCAGTTCACAAGGCTCATATTCGTTTCGTTGTACATTCATTGTTCTGAGCTGCATGACACATGAAATGAAATTTTTTTGTTTCGTCCATGGTTTTTTTGAGCTAGCTCTATATGGGCTAGGAGGAGCAAAATCAATAAAAATAAAAATTATGACTTATACCAGCCGTCTGAATTTTGATTGTTGTTATTGTAGCTTTTTATATTTTGTAGTTCAGATGGTGGAGTTGCATTCTTTAGGTTAGGAGTTTGATTCCTAGCATCAATTAGTACATTGTATATTATGGAAAGGTGCTTTATCTCATTTTCCTCAGTTCTACTATACTCGTCAAGTCCTGATGGTTATAGAGATGGAGATTATATACAAATGATATTTTGTGAGTGTCGAACAGGCTGCTACTTTGTACTTCTTTCAAGGAACTTGGGTGGTGAACTGGAATGAACATGTAGGTGGAGGGAGTTTTTTCATGTGGATTCAAAAGCGTAGATAGTCCTCCTCACAATTCTGACAAATGTTTTATGCTGGATATGTTTCAGACATAATGATTTGACCTTTTCCCATAACAGATCTGGCTTCATGCAGACTTTTCTTTTCTTTCAACCCCATTGTGAGGCAGCGTGGTGGAATCAGGCTCTCGTCAATTTTGGGCATGTAGAGTTATTGGTATCATCTGACAGCTTGTTCAAACTTGTCTTTATTTTGATGAAAAAAATATCCATTTATCTTGAATACAAGTCGAGATATTTGCGAAAGAAGGAGGTGGGGGTCACTTGTTTTCAGGGGTAAAATTAGTGAGAAAATGGCCGCCAAGGATTAGTTATTTCCTAAGCTTAAGAGTCCGTGGTAATTGAAAATTTACATTTTTTTGTGCCTTTAATCATCATTTTTCAGAAAAATCCACACACAAATGAGTTCTTTAATGGGCATGACAGGTATTGAGCCAAAAAACAAAAATTTGATAAAAATTCACAAAGCTTCTTAAAAATGCCAATTTCTTGACTTTGAGTATTTTGACGAGAGCCTGATTCCACCATGCTGCCTCATATATTACCATTATGCTTACACACACTTAGACTTAGAGAGAGAGAGAAGGAGAGAGAGAGAGATTGGGGGGGAGAGGGGGGGGAAAGAGGCAGACTGGTGAAAAGTGAGTTACCAATACCTACATACATATATTTGATTGTTGTATGTCAGTATGGGCATGGTCGTGTGGTAAGAGTATATTATGTGAGGCCGCGTGGTGGAATCAGGCTCTCGTCAATTTTTGGTCATGTAGAGTTATTGGTATCATCTTAAAGCTTGTTTGTTTGTCTTGCTTTCAATGAAAAAATTACCCATCCATCTTCAATAGAAGTGGAGATATTTTGGATTGAAGGAGGTGAGGGTCACCTGTTTTAAGAGGTAAAATTAGCGAGAAATTGGGGGCCAAAGCTTGGTAAATTCCAAAGCTTGAGAGTCCATGGAAACTGTATATTTATATTTTGTGTGCCTTTAATCAACGCTTTTCGGTGAAATCCTCAAAGGAATGTGTTTGTAAATAGACATAAAATGCATTGAGCCTAAAAACAAAAATTTGATTAAAATTGCTAAGCAGGGAGAAAACTGCTGTTTTCTTGGATTTCATTATTTTGACGAGAGCCTGATTCCACCACACTGCCTCACATATGTGAAAAACAAAAAGACCTTTCTGCCTTTTGGTAAATAATAATTACATTTTTGTTTCACTGGTCAGGTTTTTTTTTGCTCTTTGTCTTAGAGAATACATGTATTATTATACTTAGACGCACACACTCACACCCTCTCTCCCTCCCCCTCTCGCTCTCTCTCTCTCTCTCTCTCTCTCTCTCTCTCTCTCTCTCTCTCTCTCTCTCTCTCTCTCTCTCTCTCCCTCTCTCTCTCTCTCTCTCTCTCTCT